ATATATATATATATATATATATATATATATATATATATATATATATATATATATTTGAAAGTGACCTTTCATACCAGAAATGATTCCTGTTTCACAATTTCTGTTTCTTGATATTTGGGATTTAAGTATTTGTCCTCAGTCATTGACAATGAATACTAAAATTATTTTGTTTTAAGCTTAAGGTTCATTAGTGTACAACTCTACCATTAGTACAAGTGCCTATTATTCCAGCAAATGATTGTCTGGAGCAGAAGCTTTGCCTTATCTCTGAATAATTAAGTGAATATAAATTATTTTTAGAGAACCAAGAACTATTCTGAGAATTTTAAAAATATAAGATATTGCAAAAAATTGACTTTGGTTCTCTTTCTAGAAGGAAGAGTTCATTATTTTCAGCTATTTGAACCCTAAAATAGAAGGAAATTGAGTAATTAAAATTCAACTGGCAAGATATTTTAGATATGCAAGTATCTATTGTTTATACTCTCAGAGTAAACCTTTTGTTAGTAACTAACACTTTGAGTAACACTATACAGAGAGAGATGTACACATTCTTAGTCTATCTACAGCCACGCCAGGTTCATACTTTATTCCCATTTAATAAATATGAAAATGAGGCACCAAGGAATATAGCTACCTTATTTTCAACCTCTCAGTAGTAAGTAACCTAAGTGGGATTTGAACTCACTCACTCTGGCTTCCAGATCTATGTACTATCTTGTAAAACACAAGTTAAAATTTTACCTGATCTGAGAAGTTATAAACATTTTCCCTAGAAGGCATGCAGTTGTAAAGTGAGCTTCCTCTTGATCTTAGTTTTTACCTTGTAGAGAATCAGGGATCTCAGCAAGAAAAAGAAGGTCCCACTGTCACAAGTGGGACGCCTGCTGTCACTGGAGTTCTGGGATTGTCTCTGTGAGCCACACTCAAAGACAGATCAAAAGAAATCTTAGTGAAGGATCTCAAGGTCACATCGAGTAGCTGGTTCATTCAACAGTGCTGAGGTAGGACAAGGTAGAGTGAGACCAGAGCCAGATGAAGGGTTAGACCAGAGTCAGATGAAGGGTTAGACTGGGCAGTGGCTCCACATGTGGACCACTTGGAAAGTTTTCAAAGCCCAGAGACTCATCCCTGGTCTTTTGGATTTAGTAATTTGACAAGGCTTGATTTTTCTGTACTTTCAACAAGTCTAATAGGAATGATGTTAGAGTATGTTTGAGAGTTACTGGGCTAGTTTGACCCTTACACTTTTCCAGGTGCTCTGAAGTTCTAGTAAGTTCCACAGATGGAAGGGAGCTGCTAAGTCTTGGGAGCAACTGTTCATGATGGGGGCTTGTTTTTACATAGGTCAGTACACAGGGTCACTAACTGGGTGCAGACAAGAGGCCAGGAATTCATGATGTTGGGATGAAATATTGCCAGATGTGAGAGCCTAAAGTAAACTAGGGAGACAAAAGGAAGAGAAACTGGAGAGTTGATAGTCTTGCCAAACCTCTAAAAATTATTGTCCTAAGGCCAGAACAATTTACCCAAGGGGGTTTTGAAATATAACCTATTCAGAACCCAAACACTCCACAGGTCGGCATAAAAGAATGTTGAGCAGAGATCACTGGTCTCCTTACATGAACACTTAACAAAACTAAGCAAGACTTACCTGGAGCATTCAGGTTGTGCAATGCACAGGTTTACAATCCAGACAAGTATGTGACTCCTGACCTACTTTGGTCTAATCCATCAGATGGCTTTTCAGATTATTCTGAGACTTCATGGCTTGTGTCTTTAATTTCTCCTTTAAATGAAATTATACTTCATTTAAGGACACTGTTTCAACTATCTTTGGTATCCCATTGTCTAAACAATGTGTGAGATATTCACATTCAATTGGATTATAGTATAAATCTTCTCTGGGATCTAGATGCATTATCTATGTTCTATGCTTCTCAGGCATTTTGCACTCAGTATTGCCAAATGTAAAAAAAAAAAGTTAGCTGGATGCCAATGGCTCATGCCTGTAATCCTAGCTACTTAGGAGGCTGAGATCTGAGGATCAAAGTTCAAAAACAGCCTCAGCAGGAAAGTCTGTGAGATTCTTATCTCCAATTAACAACCAGAAAACCTGAAGTGGCACTGTGGCTCAAGTGGTAGAGCACTCACCTTGAGCTGAAGAACTGAGGGACATTGCCCAGGCCCAGAGGTCAAGCCCCAACAACAACAACAAGTATTTAGTTCCCTGAATTTGGCACAGTGACCCCAAATCTTCACACATTGTCTACTTGCCTGCTTAGCATCCTTAAGATGCAGATGTGCACCACAGCTAGAAGTGCTCACATATGAGAAAACTGGGCTTCAGTGACGAATCTAAGCTAAACTGAGGAGATCTTGAAAGACCAAACAAAAGCAGGACATTAAGTCAGGCTGAGTGGCCCCAGAGCTGTTCTGTCCCACATCCTGTGCAGCCATGGTGGCCTGGGACCACTGAAATGACGCCAAATACACTCTTCTTGGAGCCCTTCCTCTGCAACCCCAGACAAACAAAAGCTCTGCTAGGATTTATCAACAGCTTTTGCAAGGATAGTTTTAAACAGGGTAGCTGCTAATTTCCTAAGAAAGGCTTAGAGAGATTAAGTGGTTTACCACTTATCCCACAGTTAGTGGAACCCTAAATCTTAGAAGTTTCCAAACAGTCCTTGGTAACAAGTCAAGCATGTAGATTGGATGGCTTTTTGACAATGCAGAGAGAAGAAGCTGTACTTTGTGAGATGTTTAGAGGGAAAGTTGTTTTAAATTAAGGTCCATATTGGGGCTGGGGAGGTGGCTCAGTGGTAGAGCGCTTGCCTTGCATGCCTGAGGCCCTGGGTTCAGTTCCCCAGCACCACATAAGCAAAAAGAAAAAAGCCAGAAGTGGCACTGTGGCTCAAGTGGTAGAGCGCTAGCCTTGAGCTGAAGAGCTGAGGGACAGCGCCCAGGCCCAGAGTTCAGGCCCCATAACCGGACCCCCCAAAAAAATGATGACCGTATTGACGATCCCACTTAAATGTGAAGTCTAAAATTTTTGATTTCGTAAAAGCAGAGTGGGATAGTGGCTGCTGAGGCTGGAGAGGGGACTGGGGACGGACTGACTGCTACAGGTTGCAGTCAGAGAAATGAGTTCCCATGCACTGTGGCACAGTGGGGCGACCAGTCACCAGTAACAACACTGTACACTTCCAAAGAGCTACAAGAAAGGATTTTCAATGTTTCTGTACAAAGCAGAGATGAATGTTTGAGGTGATGCATGTGTCAGCAGCCCTGATGGATCATCATACAACTTACATGTATCAAAACACTACAGTTAGACCATTGTATGTCCATTAAAACATGCTATGCATGTGTAAAAAGAAGACCTTTTTATCAGCTATCTTAGCCTAGGCCTCATTCCTCTAAAAGATAATGTGATTTTTTTTCCAACTGGCCATACATTTTTGGGGGGAGATGGGGCAAAATAGGGGCTTGAACTAGGGCCTCTAGCTTTCCCTTGGCTTTTCATTCATGTCACTTGAGCCATAGCTCTACTTCTGACATTTTTCTGGTTAATTGGAAATAAGAGTCTCACAGACTTTTCGGCACAGGCTGGCTTCAAACCGCAATCCTTAGGTCTCAGCCTCCTGAGTACCCAGGATTACAGGTGTGAGCCACAAGCACCCAGTGAACTGACCATATTTATATGCATATTTTATTCCATTGTAATCTAGGAAAAGCAAAACACTATTTCCTGGTGGTGGCTTCATTTATGGTTATTTTGTGATATTTTCTTTTTTTGGTAAGCATTATTATTTTATTTTTTTTAATTTTTATTTTTTATTGTGAAAATACTGTACAGAGGGGTTACAATTACATGGGCAAAGTAATGAATACATTTCTTATCAAACATTGTAACCTCCTCCTTTGTTTCCCCTTCCCATCCCTTCCCATCCTCCCCCCGCCCCCCCCACGATATTTTCTTTATAATAGTCACTGTAATGATCAGCTAGAGCTTTAGAGTTTTCTTGGACTTACATTCATTATTTATTTTTGCTACATTACTTGCGCTGGCCTTGAACTCCAGATGCTCCTGTCTCAGCCTCCTGAGGGCTGGGATAAAGATGTGCACCATACTTGGCTCTGTTTTGTTTTCAAGTTTGGTTCTCACCCTGTCTCTGCTTCCATTCTCCCTGCCCTATGGTTTAACATTATTCCTGCTTAGGCGAAGCATAGCAAACAGAAATGGATTGCAGATGAAATTGAACTACAGCCCTAAAATAGTGATTGCAAAATACAGTTCGCATTTGCATTGGGCAGCAAAAGATTTCTCGCTTACTGTGACTGCAGGACACCTCCACAGCTGTCTACAACCGACATGCAGCCACCACCATGCTCTGGTGATGGAGCTGTGCTGGCTACCCCCACTGCTAATGGAAGAAGTGGTTTTCTCTGGTTGCCTGGACTATGTCTCCACAGTTTGCTTTATATATTAGCTCTTGGCTGGAACACTTAAAAATAAATCAGCCAGCCCACAGCAAACATTAATCCTTGCTCCAGACTTGTTTTTTTTAAGCTAATGAACTGTAGCAGAAACAATAGAATGTTCTTGATCTCAAGGCCCCCGAGGAACTGTGGGTCACACAGAGTATTTTCTAACCAATTGGGTGGTCAGGCATATGAAACTGTTTTTGTTTTTGTTTTGCCAGTCCTGGGACTTAAATTCAGGGCCTGGGACTGTCCCTGAGCCCTTCTGCTCAAGACTAGCCATCTATCACTTGAGCCACAGCACCACTTCCAGCTTTTTCTGTATATGTGATACTGAGGAATCGAACCCAGGGCTTGATGCATGCTAGGCAAGTCTACCACTAAGCCACATTCCAAGACCATGGGTTGTCAGGTGTATGGAGGCCATTGTACCATGGGGAAACCTAGGCTCCCACTCAGCTGCCCTTCAGAGCTGATTTCTTCAGCCAGGCTCTGGGTCTGAGGGTGATCAGTTGGTATCATTAGCTATTTTGGTTTTCATATTCCGGAAACTGATAAATACCTATATTTTTCACATGTGGATTTGTCGTGTGTGGAATCCAGAAAAGATAGAAGATCTGGGGAGGGAGCTACTTGGAGGGATGATAGTCTGGGAGTTTAAAGGCTAACGTATTAGATAGAACACAAATTCTATAGGGCAGGTGGATATTCAGGAAAGGATGGAGGATATCCTGGGGGGTGGAAAGGCAGGGGCTTGTCTTATAAGGCATGGGTTGAAGAAGACATTTGGGTGTGGGCCTATTCACACATCTAACAGTGTTTACTGAGCTAGAAAGCAGTGGTGAGCAGATGCTTGCCTCCCTAAAACTTAACCCTTAGCCTGGAGGAAGGAAGACTGCAAGAGCTCCATCTCAGGGAGTAGGAGAAGCACCTAGGAGAGCAGGAAGCAGCATTCCAGGCCTAAGACTCTGGGCAGCAGGGGACAGAGCATGGGGATTCGAGGGAAGGCCACGCCCTCCTTACCTATCTTCTTCAACATATCCTCCCAGGGGCCTTACCATCCCAGTGCCCTGCTCTGTTTTTCTTATTGATATTCATGGCCTGGCTCTGTGTTTCTATTCATTTGCTGCTGCTTGTTTGCTAGCTCCAGCTAGAATGTAAACACCCTAGATATGGGAGCTTTGTGTATTACTATAGCTCTAAGTGCCAAGGACACAGTAAGCGCTCAATAATGTCTGAATGGCTGCATGAGTAGCCTCTGTAGTTGAGCATAGAGGGAAGGAAAAGAATGGCACAAGGTTCAGAGAAGAACAGAGCAAGGAGGAGGAGCGAAGGTCGGGCAGGAGGCAGGAATGGAGCAAGGGCTTTTCAGGCCAATGGCAAGATAAAGGTCTCATCAGGGAAGCAAACCAGAGTGTCTTTAATGGAAGTTAGGAAGAATATTAGCCTCCTTGTACCCAATACATTGATTTTCTGTCTAGTTTTCTTCTTGCATCTGTCAAGCAATTATAATGATCCAAATTTCAAAAGAATAAGATACTATGGTGTTTGACTTTGGAAGGAACAGCAGTTTATCCTCAAGATTTAAAAGTAGAAAGCTTGGACTGTAACTCAGTGTCAGAACCCTAGGCCAATATGGGACAGGCCCTGGGTTCTATTCCTAGCACTGAAAAAAATAAAATAAAAACATGTGACAAGAGAAAAACCACTCAAAGACAGAAGGAACTAAATTATCAGGACATAAGCTTTTAGATTATATCCCTGGCTTTTCCTTGTTGTTTATAGAATTAATCTTCAATTCTGGGAATGTGAAAACTGGAATTGTAGCAATTCCTGTTTGGACCATTAACTCTGAGTTAATTATGTCACTTTGACATAATCAAATAATTATTGTCCAAGATTAATGTCATGAATTGATCAGTAAGATCATACAGATCAATAAGCATACAGAGTTGATTCATGCATGTTAGTGAAAGAGCTCCATGGATAGAAATATTTATACTTATCCTGGAAGGAAGGATTTTTGACTCTTGGCACTTGGTGAGAGGAAAGAGTATCATGTTGTTTCTCCTTTTTTTTCTCAGGAATCATTCCAGCCAATGGGAAGATGAATGTGACCATTACATTCACGCCCTTCCAGTATGGGACAGCACAAATAAAAATGCAGTTGTGGATTTCACAGTTCAACTCTCAGCCGTATGAGTGTGTCTTCACCGGAACCAGCTACCCCAACATGGCCCTACCGTATGGCTTCTGGGGAATGTTTTCCTTAAATCTTAATGCTTCTCCAAAACCCCTTCTTTCCTCCTTCCACTTTGTGACAAAAATGCCAGTGATGTAGTTCACTGATAGATCTCTTGTCTAGCCTGGGCAAGACCCTACACTCAACTCCCCAAGCCACAAAAAATACCACCTTATTTTAAATAATAAACCTGACATTAAATAGGCTTTAAAATAGTTAAGCATAAGGTCCAGTGCCAATAGCTCTTGTCTGTAATCCTAGCTACTCAGGAGTCTGAGATCTAAGAATTATGGTTTGAAGCCAGCCCAGGCAAGAAATTTCATGAGACTCTTACCTATGATCAACCACCAAAAAAGCTGGAAGTAGAACTGTGGTTCAAGTGGTAGAGTACCAACCTTGAGTGAAAAAACAAAGCAACAGAGCCCAGGTCCTAAGTTCAAGCTCTAGGACTCACACGCGCGCACACACACACACACACACACACACACACACACCACCACCACCAACAACAACAACAACACAACAACAACAGCAGCAACAACAACAATAATAATAGTTATGCTAGTAGCAGAGATGTTTCTACACAGGTGATTCTGGATGATATGATGACAGAAAGGGGACTTTTGCTGATCATTGCAGATGTGCTATTTAGGTTAGAGCCATATTCACGCATTACTACCTTTCCAAACGTCTAAATCACACAAAGCCAGAAATAACGATTCTAAAATTTTCACACAACATTCCTAGTAATTGACTTAGTGCCTTGTGCGGGATCTGCTGCAAAGTCCCATGGCTTTGGCACCCCAAGCAAAGTAAGTCCTGTTTATCAAGTGCCATCCCATAAAGCAGAGTTAAAAACATGCCACACACAGGGCTTAAAAGGGCAGCAGGGGAGAGGCAGGCGTGAAGATGAGAGCCAGGTTCCCTAGCTATGTGGAGGCTGAGACTGGATGGGTTGTACTTTGAGGCCAACTGGGTAGAAAAGGTCATGAGATCCCCTTCTCAACACGAGTGTGGTGCGTGCATGCCTGCTAGCTGAAACAGAAAGCCTAAAATAGGTAACTTGCAGCTTAGGCATGCATTAGGCAGGAAGCAAGACCCTATCTCCAAAATAACTAACACACAAAAAATGACATGACTCAGCAGTAAGAGCATCTGCCTAGCAAATGTGAAGGCCTAAGTTCAAATCCCAATACCACACACACAAAAAAAGAGATAAGATATGCAATGGGATTGAGTTTTAGTTCATAATAAAGCTTTCCTGAGCTTCCATTTCCATTTGAAAATGAAGTTACACTTTTTTTCTTTTTTGGTGGGTTGTAGGGCTTGAACTCTGGGCCTGGGCACTGTCTCTCAGCAATTCAGCTCAAGGCAAGAGCTCTACCACTTAAGCCACAACACAACTTCCAGTTTTCTGGTGGTTTATTGGAGATAAGAGTCTCACTGACTTTCCTATCTAGCTAGCTTTGAACCATGATCCTCAGATCTCAGCCTCCTGAGTAGCTAGGATTACAGGCATGAGCCACCAGCGCCCAGCTGGACTTACACTTTTTTTGTAATAAGGAATAGTATTAATTTTTCTTGTGTCAGTAGTGTCATTCACCATGTCTGCTCATATGTGGCCATGCTCAGATGGCTTTCTCAAAGATATCCCAGGATGACTTCACTTTTATATCCTTTCATAGATATGTTCTTGTTTATTTATATTAACTTTTTTTGTACTGGTCCTAGGACTTGACCTCTGGGGTTGGGTGCTATTACTGAACATTTATGCTCAAAGCTAGCTCTCTACCACATAAACCACAGCTCTAATTCTGGCTTTTTTTGTAAGCTATTTTGATTTAAGAGTTTCATGGGCTCTTCTTTCCCAGGCCGGCTTCAAACCACAATCCTCAGATCTCTGCCTCCTGAGTAAGGAGGATTACAGGCTTGACCCGTCAGTGCCCATTTATTTTAATTTCTTAATTAACTTTTTTGGTGCTAGAGATTGAATCCACATGCTAGTCACTAATCTACAACTGAGCTACACCTCCAGTCCTGATGTGATCTTTTCATAAGAGCACTGTATAGTAAAAGCACTTTACAAATGCAGTCATATACATTTCTAGACTGTGATGCTTTAGTTTCCCAGTAGGGCTCCCTCTTATTTAATAAATGCGAGGCATGTATCACCACAGCTGCCTGACTCCCCAAATTTGGAATGGTATTAATAGCATATAAATTCTACCATAAAGGAAAAATAATTAGACTAGCCACAACATTCTCTCAAATTAACATGGACTGCTTTCTTTCAGTTTGGGATGTATGATAGACTTACTCATGTCCTAAGTTTGGCCCTATCAATATCCATATATAACTTTATAGTTTACCACGTTCTTCTGTGTGTGTGTGTGTGTGTGTGTGTGTGTGTGTGTGTGTGTGTGTGTGTGTGTGCATGCTAGCCCTGGGGCTTTGAATTCAGAGCCTTGCATTTTTTGTTAAGCTCTTTTTGCTGAAGGCTACTTGGGCCACACATCCACTTACAGCTTTTTTTCTGGTTAATTGGACATAATAGTTTCTTGGATTTGTTTGCCTAGGCTGGGTTTTAAACTCTAACCTTCAGATCTCAGTTTTCTGAGTAACAAAGATTACAGGCCTACCCTACCAGTACCCAGCCAAATCTATTATATTCTTAAACTCCTTCAATTCCATTGCTAGAACTAGTGATTAGAGTTCTTTGGGATACTGTTTTGTTCTGTTTTTGATCCTCTCAAAAGACTTTTATTATTCCCCACATTTACAGCAGGGTGACCCCAGAGCTCCATGTGAGCTGGATACTGAGCAGACTCAGTCCCTAGCTTGGCTCTCACCCTTGTACATTGGCTCATATCAGTCAGCATGTTTTCTCCCATGCCACCAACATGAAGGGTGCTTCTTACAATGGGGGCTGTAAGTTGAGATAAGAGAGAGTTGCAGCCAGGTGCTGGCAGGTGCACACTGACAGAATGAACCCGTGCTAGAGTCTCCTTATCCTACTTCTGTAGTGGCATAGACAGCAAGGGTACCACTTTCTTGCTTAACAACAGGTGTCACTGAGAGCTTTTTGGACCACCATGGAGCTCTGTATAGTGTGGCTTCAGCATGGTTTCTACATGACTATGCCCAAAAGCAGTTTTCAGAAAAACAAACCAAACATGACTGTGTCTTTCTTTGAAAGATCTGGCTACCAATAGTAGGCATAATTGTTCTTTCACTCCTAAGTCAAAGTAAGTAATTAGGCTGTTGAAAACCTACAATCCAGAAATGAACTGTACTAAGCCAAGACAGCATCTTTTAGTATGTCAAACTCTCTACCGTCAATTTTTTTTTTTTTGGGTCCGGTTGTGAGGCCTGAACTCTGGGCCTGGGTGCTGTCCCTCAGCTCTTCAGCTCAAGGCTAGCGCTCTACCACTTGAACCACAGCGCCACTTCCGGCTTTTTTCTTTTTGCTTATGTGGTGCTAAGGAATCGAACCCAGGGCCTCATGCATGCAAGGCAAGTGCTCTACCACTGAGCCACCTTCCCAGCCCCATGAGACTTTTATTTCTAGTAAACCAGCAAAAAGCCAGACGTAAAGCTGTGGCTCAAGTAGTGGAGCTCCAGCCTTGAAGGATAGTACTAAGGGACAGCACAGGCCCTGAGTTCAAGCCCCAGAATTCTACACAGGTACACACACACACACACGCCTAGAGTTTATTTTCATATATATATTAATTTAATATATATTTTACATTATAGATTAGAAGAATTTAAAAGATTAAATGTTCTTTCTAATAAAGTAAAAGTTCCTCCAGAAAAAACAATGATGCATGTAAATTTTCGCCGGTTACCACCAAAGACAGTGCCTCCAAAGTTGAAGGTAAAGTGGGCAGACCCTCAGTGTCACTGATGGGAGGGAAGAAGGAACAACCAGAGGACTCATTTTCCTGATTGGTCCTCAGGAAATTGAGTACCAAAACTTGAGGTTTCCAGCTGACCTATCAAATCCATTTGCTGTGGCAACTGTTCTGAACCAAGAACCAGGAAAACTGAAGATTAAAGAATTAAGAGAAGGTACCAGTTGATCCAATGATAAATCAGCCCCTGGGCAAAATATGAGCAAATTGTTTCTTGTCACATCCATTATTTATGAGCCATAAAACTTAGATTCAATTGCTGTTTGGCTTTGCCACTAGAAATTTGTCTTCCTCTTGCAAATGCGTTTCATTTGATTACTGGTACATCATTGCTTGTTTTCTTCTAGTTTTGGACCAAGGCACTGAGATTTCCAAAACAAAACAGATGAAGGAGGCACTCTTCGAACAAAAAGTCAGACAGGATATCCAGGAAGAGACAGAAAATCATCTTAAGTGGTAAATATTCAGCAATTATTTGTGTCAAGTGATTGCATGATTGTTTTCAAGGAATGACCTTTAATGCATTAGACATAATGAAATATAATAGTTGATGTCCTTTGGGGAATTTGATTATTCCTGGCCACCCACTGGTCTTTCTATTTCAGAATGAGTATCTATCAGGAATAAATTAATATGATCAAACCACCCTGTCTCCTAAGTGTGATCAGACAGTGCAGAGGCGGGTGAACTGTGGGAGGGGCTGGGACCCTGACTCTTGCTCTGAGCAACACCCCCAACTCAAGGACAGATCTGGAGTGGTTCTGGTACCTCAAGTCTTACCCCATCGCCTCTCACCACCTCATGAGCCCCTCTGCCATTCACTGTGTGCCCCAAGAGCCTTCTGACCAACCTAGAAATTCTAGGGGTGGATGGAATGGGGTGGAGTCCTGTTAACACTCAGATGAAAGAATGCTTGTTCTTCTAGGGTCAAAATGGAATTTTTCACATTTTTTTAAGCCAGAGCATACCAAGCCTAGCTACACGAATGTATACAGCGAAAGTACATACACTTCGTTTTTTCTTTTCTGAGTCAAGTTCTCACTACATTTCCTTGAACTCTTAGGTTCAAGTGAGCCTCTTGCCTCAATCTTCCAAGTAGCTGGAACCACCACCCCCAACTCTAAAGTAAACTTCAGAAACTCTCTCTTTTTTTTTTCTTGGTGGGACTTGGGTTTGAACTCATGGCTTGTGCCATGAGTTAGATAGACAGATGTGCTACCACTTCTTTTATTTTTCCCAGTCCTGGGCCTTGAACTCAGGGCCTGGGCACTGTCTCTGAGCTTCTTTTGCTTAAAGCTGGTGCTCTACCACTTGAGCCACAGAGCCACTTCTGGCTTTTTCTGTTCATGTGGTACTGAGGAATTGAACCCAGGGCTTCATGTATGCTAAGCAAGCACTCTACCACTAAGCCACATTCTCAGCCCACTTCCTTTTTTGAAAAATAGAACCTTGCACCTTTACTCAAGGCTAGCCTCAGACCACAATCTTCCTGACCTCCACCTCTCAAGTAGCCCAGATTACAGGCATGAGCCACCACACCTCCTGTTTCAGGAACTCTTGAACCGAACTAAGAAAGAGACCCCTGGAAATTGTCCCTTAAGGGTTGCTTGACATATCCTTGCCTCCATGCTTCCTAGACACACAGGAACACACCCTGACCTGGAAATTCTCCATAGGAGGCATTCACACCCTATTTTAATGGGGAAAATGGCTTGTTTCTGACAGAAATTCCTTCCAGTTAAATCATCTTGCCTCATTTAACCGGCCTCAGCTTTAGTACTCCAAGAAACTAAAGGGTTTTACCTTCACAAATTTTCAAGGTTCATCCACTTCATGGCATATATTAGTACTTCACTCTTGTTGAAGGCTGAATGATATTTTAGTTCTTCCTTCTTTTGTTAGTGGACAACTTAATGGTTTCCACTTTGGACTACTATGAATAATGTTGCTATGAGGATTTCCATTCGAGTTTTTAATGTGCACATAGTAGCTACATTCTCTTGGCCATATACTTCAAAGTGAAATTGTTGTATCAATGATAACTCTACATTTAATTTTTTAGGAGATACCAAGCTGTTTTTCATTGTAGTGGCACCATTTTACATTCTTACCAGCAATGTTGGAGGGGTCCAGTCGAGCCACATCTTCAGAAATATCTGTTACTTTCCATTTTTAAATGATTAGTATTATCATAGACACCCCAGTCTGTGTGTGGTAGTGTACATGTACAGGAAATTCTCATAGACCTTCCTGTATGGATTGGCTTTGAACTGCTATCCTTAGATCTTAGTATCCTGAGTAGTTAGGATTATAGGCATGAGCCATCAATGCTTTGCTCAGCTTTCTCATCCTTCTTTCCTTCCTCCCTTCCTTCCTCCATCCTTCCTTCCTCCCTTCCTTCCCGCCCTCCCTCCCTCCTTCTTTCATTCCTTCCTCCCTTCCTTCCTTCCTTCCTTTCTTCTTACTTGGGATTGAACTCAGAGCCTCACCCTTGCTAGACAAGCATTTTATCACTTGAGCCACACTCCAGTACTTTTGCTTTTCTTAGTTTGTTTTTCAGATAGGGTTCCGAGCCTAATTTTGCCTGGACCAACCTCATACCACGATCCTCCTGCCTCCACCTTCTGAGTATCTGGGACCACACTCATGAGTCACCATGCCCAACTTGAGTATGTTTTCTGATGGCTTCTGGAAGTTGGCTTTTTTCTCCCCCAGGCAGGTGCACCTTGGTAAAGAACCTATGTCTTTTAAATTTAGAAAAGAGTTTGCTGAGGAGTGGCAAAGCTCATGGAACAAATATCAGGTCAGAATGACTGCTAATTTTATAGCCTTTGTTTCACTAAATGATCTGAGTCCCTATTATATATAAGATGTCAAACCAGGAAAAAGAAATTGTACATTCAGTTGGGAGGGGAAAGAGGCTGACCATAAGCAAATTGCTAAGTATAGGTCTCACTTGGCAATACATGTTCTAATAGAGACACTAATAGTGAGTATTATGGGGGAATTGAGAAATCAGAGAGGAGAGAGAACGTCTCTAACTGGAGAGCTTCCTGGAAGACATGGTGAAAGTTTGAGAATGAGTGAAAGTGGAGGGAGGGCTCAGATTCAAGTTGTTATTCTGGGCAAGAGGTGCATCTGTTCCATGGAACATGAAGACCAGCGATCCCAAAGCCAGATCCAAATGACAGTCCCAAGTCAGAGTTTCTCAGAGACTCTCGCCAGAGACCAAGGCAGTCCCTGTAAGCCTAGGGACAGGAATTGTGAGACTGGAACACCATGGCCTGACCAGGACATGGAGGAGGTATTTACACACACAGTGCAGGTGCAGAGATACTGGGGCAAGGCCGTGATGGCTGAAGCACAGGACATGCACGAGGCAGAGTAGGCTCAGTGGGGCTCTCTGTGTAAGAGCTTTGAACTTTATTGGTCAGACTTTTGAGACCATCACATACTTTATTGGTCATATCAAAATGGGTTACAAAAAAAAAGACTTTAACAGAAGGAGGCTGTTCTAGAGATCAAGTCCTTGGGGTGCTGGCTTCTTTTGAGTCCTCTATTGGCTCAGCGATGGTGGTCTTGCAGTGAATGCTCACAAGGATATTGAAAACCAGTAACATCTGGATCAGGTCCTTTGTCTCTCTGGTCTCAATGAATGGTTTCCATGGACTTAGAAGGAGTAAAATAGCCCAGGTTTATCAGAGAACTAGATAAGCAGAGCTCCTGCTAGATAGGAGGGGTCCCAAGGAAGGGTCCTGCATGGTTGGAGGTAGAGGGTATTGTTAATAAGGCTGATAAGATGACAGTTAGATGACTCTCAAGATCACTGGACAGCCTGTGGGCCATTATCAGTTCCCAGACCCAATTAGAGGCTGCACTAGTTCTCCATGGTTCCTGTAGTCTCTCTGATTAGATGCCCATTCCAGCACACACCTCTGGGGTCCAATGATTTCATTGTTCATGTGCAAGTCTTCTAGCTTCATAGCATGAGTCCCAGAGCCCAATGTGAAACTGCTTGAGGCCATAGTAAGAGATACAGAGTCTCTTTGGGAGTGGGGCTTTGCCCTAATTGTCTAGTCAGGCTTCTTTCCTACTCTCACAAATCTCTCCTTCATCCACTATAACATTAGTCATAAGTTTATTAGGACACTCCAGGCCTCCCTTTAACTTAACCACCTTTGATGGCCCCACCACATGCTAAGGTACTGAGGCCTTGGGCATCAGCATGTCAGTTGTGGGGGACCCAGCTTACCCCTGTAACATGCTGAAGCTTAGCAATGTGACTTTAGGGAACTAACTTGGTGTTCATGACTAGGAGAAATGAGGGGAAAACATGTGTCTTGCTAAATATCTGATTTTTGCTTAGATTTTAGTCAGCCTAGATGTTTGGATGAATGTCTTATTTTCTTTTTTTTTTTAAATAAGGAAAACAAAAGAATATAAAATTACTGTATTGGCAAATCTTTACATTCCAGGAAAGACACATACGAACTTCCTGTTTGTCTGTGTTGTTCAGATTCTTCAAAAGCTACTTTCAAAGCATAGCATAGTATTTTCTGTCACGCTCTCTGTGGCATGCTGCCTCTCTTAGAGATGGAGGTGACAGTGAGTGACATGGTCAGGTGAGGTGAGCATGAAGGCTCTGATGGCCAGCATGTGCAGACCAGGGCAGTTGTGCCCTTAGGCAGGACAAGGGGTAGGACAAGAAGTGCTCCAAGGCTCTGGAATGAGGAGTAACATGTACTGCAGGGCTGCACATCTGGCAGCTAAGACACACAGATAACCACTGGGAGGAACACTTGGAGGCCCCAGGGGCAGAGCAAGAGACCATGGAGGAGTCACAGCTGGATGGCACAAAGGATGATGGGCTTTTACTCATGGCAACCAATGGGAACATCACCTTCTGAATGCCCATTTGTTCATCACAAAATACCCCTTCTCTTTATTCTACCTGACAACATTACATTGCCAGTTTTAGTTGACTCTTAATGATGGTGGGGGGAAAAGAATCTGGGTCTTTCCTCATGAAATCTGAGGGCCACAGACCCAAACTCCGCTTCCAGAACTGTGAGAATCAGACCCAGTCAGCTCTCCACCCTGATGACAGTGACACTCCCACCTTATTTCAATCGGTTTTTGCTTTTGTTTTTATTTTGTTTTGTTTTGTGTACTGAGCTTTAAACTTGGGTCTCCTGTGTGCTAGGTAGGCACTCTGGGTGCTCTACTGCTTTGAGTCATGTCCTCAGCCTCCTTTTGCTTTTTTTTTTTTTTTTTCAGAGAGGATCTAGATCTTTTTGCCCAGGCCGACCTTGGACTTTGATCTTCCGGCCTCTGTCTGTGGAGTAGCAAAGATTACAGGCACAAACCACCATGCCCAACCCTCCTCCTGTGTTATTTCTGAGTAGGGTGTTAATGTGATTCTGATGAGAATAGACTCTTTTCAATTACATCCTTAGACATGACTGTGAACTGTGTACAATTGGTTTTTGAAGTTATCGAGCAAATAATAGAACCCACAGAGTCAAAAAGTAGTACCATGTGTAGTGTTCACAGCCCTCTTTCCCTTGCAACCAGCATGTGTAGGCACTGATCCAGCTTAACCTGCCCTGTTGGGGTCACCTGTGGCTCCTGAAATTAGGAAAAGAGACTCCAAGGTCCACTAAGAATTCAGAAAAAGAGGAATTTCCACAGTAATTTCCAGTCTAACTAGCACAAAACTGTACCAGGATCGCTTTATACTGAGTCTGCAATGGACATATTCCTACTTGTATAACTTCCTAAAACCTTTCCTGGGGATTTTAGTGCCTTGGAAATAATCATTTCCAGAGATATCTACACTAGCTATTTAAAAAAGAAAAAGAAGGTCTCAGGTTTGTGCTTCTAAAAAGTTCCTTGCATCTAAACCATAAAGAATTATAGCAAGGATTTAAAGTCTCTGCCATTCACAACCATAACTCCATGAGTAAGCTTGAGAGATTGCTCAATGGGTTTATACCAGTTTTGAAGATAAATAAGTTTTACGGATCTGTCTTTAATATTGTTGATGATTAAAAATCCAGCTAGATAAAGGAGATCCTATTGTGGAAGAGGAATTACAACGGCTCAAGACAGAAGTTAGCCATAAACGGGTAGTTCGAGATCTACAAGATGTAAGTGACTTCTCTTTGCTTGGTTTCTAATTATCAGCAATTCTTAAATACTTCTTTTTAAATGCTTAACAGTTTTGTGTGTGTATACACACACACATGCTCACATGCATATGCACTATTACTAAGGCTTAAACGCTGGGGCTCCTGCTCTTCATTAGCTTTTCACTCAAAGCTAGAGCTCTGACACAAGCCTTACCTCCACTCCTGGCTTTTGACTGGTTAGCTGGAGATAGATTATGTCTGTGTAGAATTGCTTCAGGAACCTCAATCCTTGGATCTCAGCCACTGGAACCCAGCAAGTGCTGAAGATTTTTATAGAATTTCTTTCCCCAAGAGATAGCTGAAAACTTCTCATGCATTTATATTTTTGAGTGTTTTTTTTTACAATGCATTCTCAAGTAGAGCATCAAAACGTGTACTTAACGTTTCCCTTGAAATTGCCAACATCACAGAGTGTGGCTCCCCATTTCTGCTCTTCCACTTCCTTTGCTTGGTCTCCACACCTGTCTACAGGTTCTCCAGTGGGTCCCTGACCTCTGCTAACAGGCTTCCTCCCTTGGTGGAAAGAATGCCAGAGTTATGGTTCCAACTTGATGGCAGAGATGGGACCCAGGACAAGCCTGTGAGCTATGATGTCTGACTAACCTCAACTATAAAATTGAGATATAGTAACCTTCACATCTAATCCTCTGTTGTGCAACATTTTCTGGTTAAAACTCCAACTTCTAGCTAGGTGCTGGTTGATCACATCAGTAATCCTAGCTACTTGGGAGGCAGAGATCTGAGATCACCATTTGAAGCCAGCTCAGGCAAGAAAGTCCATGAGACTCTTATCTACAATTAACCAGCAAAAAAACAAAAACAAAAACAAAAAACAAAAAGGAGCTGTGGCTCAATGGTAGAACATCAGCCTTGAATGAAAAACCTAAGCAAGAGAGTGTGAGGTCCTGAGTTCAAGCCCTAGTACAAGCAAAAGAAGGATAGAACAAGAGAACAAAAGAATGAAAGAAAGAAAAAGGAAGGACAGAAGGAAGGAAGGAAGGAAGGAAGGAAGGGAGGGAGGGAGGGAGAGAGGGAGGGAGGGAAAGAGGGAGGGAGGGAAGGAAGGTAGAAAGGGAGGGAGGAAGGAAGGAAATACTCTCCAACTTCTTACTTTAACAATGAAAACATTTCTTCCTAATCTCTTCAGTCTGGCTTCTCTGTACTTAATTTGCCATATCTGAATTCTTGTTACCTTTTCTCTTCCTCTACCCACAAAGTCTTACCAGTAGCTTTCTGCAAGGTCATAGCCAAGTCCAATTTCTGGGTCTTACCACTGACTAATTCCACAGGCTTGCATTCATAGCCTGCCCTTCTATAGCACACTGCATCAACCAGCTCCAGACCCATTCATCTCTAGCTGACTGCTTCACTTGCTGTATTCCTGCTCAGGAACTACAGAACCCTAGAACTGGGCTTGCTCTTCTCACCCCCGCCCCTGGCATCATCATCTCTCCATTTATTCTGTGACCTGGGCACACTGCTGTGGAGTCTCGAAGGCAGCAGTGGTATCAGGCATGCAGGGCTGGGTGGAGCCATCTCCCTGTCAGTTCATGGTCCACTCCTCTTGCTTCTGGAGACAGTGCCAGCTCCTACACATGCAGCTATAACGTTCCTCTTTTCCCTCAGCTCACCAGTTTGCTTGAACTGCCCTAAACCAAACAGAAAGTTCCTTAAAGCTGATTCTTATCTTCCACTGTTGGCCCCTTGGATGCTGTGTATATTTCAAGTGCTTAATAAGTACTCAGTCTGGGCTGGGAAGGTGGCTCAGTGGTAGAGCGTTTGCCTTGCATGCCTGAGGCCCTGGGTTCAGATTCCTCAGCACCACATAAGCAAAAAGAAAAAAGCTGGAAGTGGCGTTGTGGCTCAAGTGGTAGAGCACTAGCCTTGAGCTGAAGAGCTGAGGGACAACGTCCAGGCCCAGAGTTCAGGCCCCATGACCAGACCCCCCCCCCACACACACACACAAAAGAGTCTCACAGACTTTTCTACCCTGGGCTGACTTCAAATCATGACCCTCAGATCTCAGCCTTCTGAGTAGTTAGGATTACAAGTGTAAGCCATCCACACCTGAAGTAGAGTCAGTGAGTTGTATAAAGGGATTTCATTTAGAGTTATCCATATGCCTACAATGTTCCTTGGTCACCCTATCACCCTCCCTCATCCCCCTGCTCCTGTCCAGATCAATCTCATCCAGCTTCATTGTTCCATTCCCACCCATGGAAATAAAGTGTTTTGCCTACACTCACCCCTGCCACCCTCTCCACTCCTCCCTGCTCCCATCCACATCCCATTCCACCCAGGACATGATTCACATCCCCGCCCTTTGTATTTTTAGGATATGCTAATTGTTCAAAGGAGTTTCCCCATGGTTTCACACATGCATTTATATAGTATTTAGTGTTGCTTAATAACATCTCTATAGAAATACAATTCACTCTGCTAAAACCTTCTGAAGGTTTCCCATCACAATGAGAGTAAAAATGCAGCCTTTATCGAGGCTCAGAACTCTCTGTCTTTCGCTCACTATCCTGCCTCTTGCCACTCACCTTACTTCAAACCTCACCTCCTCACAGAGGCCTTCCCTCATCCTTGCTCAGAGGCTGGACACTCTGCTCCTAGCCCACACATACACACAGAGGCAGGCTACCTCTTTGCTCTTCTGTCTCTCTGGTGGATGTATAGAGTTGAGCACAAAGCAGCCACCTCATAATCTTTGTGAGATGAAGGTCTTGAGAAGATACAAAGGAGTGCTAATCACAGAACAACTGATCCTTCAGACCATAGTTCTGCACATAGAAAATGCCAGTCTGAGGCTGCACCATTCTGATACAAAGCTTAATGGTGCACAGTCAGCCTTGCCTCTGGCTTCATCCCAAGCTACAAAATCACCCAGGTAGCCAGGCACCGGTTGCTCTTGCCAATAATCCTCGCTACTCAGGAAGCTGAGATCTGAGGGTCTAAGTTCAAAGCCAGCCCAGGCAGATACCCTGTTGCCTAGGTCATGAAGTCTCACAGCCTTCATCTCTAACACTGTAGAACTCTCCTTGTGAATTCTTAGAGTGGTGGCAAAATTAAGAACTTAAAATAATGAAATTTCTTTCCAATCTAGATTTTACGAGAGCGACGATTACACAACATGTTGAGTGGAGTTCATGAAACGGACAAAGATACTATCCAAATGAAAACATTGTTTGCACAAGGTAATGAATGTGTAGCTACAAGGGTCATGATGTTTCGTTACAATGAAGTTGGCTATGGAGGAATAAAATCTTTTCATAAACCACATGTATTCATTTCTCATTGGTTCTGTAAAAAGCCACCACAAACTTGATATAACACAGGTTTAGGATATCACAGGTCTAGGGAGCCAAAGATTAAAATCAAGGTGTCCTCAAGCTGCTTTTGCTGGGGCTTTATGGGAGAATCCATTGCATTGCTTCTGCTAGCTTCTTTGGGCTCCTTGCAGTCCTTGGCTGGTGGACCCTTCCTTACATCACTTGACTCTCTGGCATCAGGCATCACATATCCCTTTCTGACTGACCCTCCAGTCTCCTCCTTATACCAACCTTATGGTTTCATTGAGAATGCCTGGATTATCCAGAATAAGCTTCCCACATCAAGATGCTTAACTTAATCCCCTCTGCAAATTTCCTTTTTATCACATAAAGTAGCAATCCACATCCCCAGGGAATAGGCTGTAGACCTTTCAGTGTCACTACTCCACCTTTCATGTGTCCTAAGTCAGATCTCTATGCCAGGTTTGGATTAATAACCTGCCTGGGTAGCAATGAACACGTCAACCCATCCCACATGGAGGTGCCAGGACTGAGGAGTCTGACCACACTTGACCTCTTGTTTCATATCTTTGCTTCCTCTTGTCACTAGCGGGATGAAGGTAGTTGTGGTATATACTTGCTGATTGAATATGAATGTAATGATTCCACAGCCTAGCACTTTAGGCAATGTTTTTAAATCTTACACAGTGTTTTGCTTTTTAAAGAATTTCAGCCCAGAGGTAGAGGTGTTGCTCAAGTAGCAGAATATCAGCCTTGAGCAAAAAAGCCAAATGAGAGCCTGAGGTCCTGAGTTCAAGCCCCAGTACCTGTACACAAAACAAAGAGAGAGAAAGGATGGGAGGGAAGAAGAAAGAGAGAAAAGAAAAGAGGGAAGGAGAGAAACAAAGAAGGAGGGAAGGAGAGAAACAAAGAAGGAGGGAAGGAGAGAAGGAGGGAGAGAGAAAAAGGAAAACATTGAAGAAATACCTGTTGTGGGGCAGGGAGTAGTAGAACATACCTATAATCCCAGCTACTCGGGAAGCAGTGATCAGGAAGATTACAGTCCAAGACTAGCCAAGGCAAAAAGTTATCAACATTCCATCAATAAAAACTGGATGAAGTGGCACGGACCCGTCATCCTACTTGGGAAATGTAAAAGATGAGTCATTAATATGAGATTCTCTTTAAAAAATAACTAATGAATAAAAGCAAGTACAAAGGCCTATGCACAAACCCCAGTACTGGCCTCCTTAAAAAGATGTTTAAAAGATAGACCATTTTTTGAAACAAAAATAAAATGAATTGTGTGTGTGTGTGTGTGCGATTGCGCTGGGAGCTGCCCCTAAGCTCTTCTGCTCAAAGCTAGCACTCTACTATTTGAGCCACAACCCCATTTTCAGCTTTTTTCTCTTTTTTGTAGTTAATTGGAGATAAGTCTCACAGACTTTTGGGCTTGGGCTGGAATCAAACCAGGATCCTCAGATCTCAGCCTCCTGAGTAGCTAGGATTCCAGGCATGAGCCACCAGCACCCAGCCAAAATTAAATTCTTTTTTTTGGGGGGGGAGGAGGGGGTCCGGTCGTGGGACCTGAACTCTGGGCCTGGGCGCTGTCCCTCAGCTCTTCAGCTCAAGGCTAG